GCCATGATACTATTAGATTCTAGATCTAGATCTAGAGATCTAGATCTATCTATAGTATGCTACGGCTTTTTAATATGTTTAATAAATTATTAAATATAAAAATACTAGTCTAGACTAGAGAGTCTACTAGATCTAGATCTAGATCTAGTAAGTCTAATATTATTATTAATAATAGGCCTAGATAATAGATAGTAGTTAGTTAGCTAAGCCTTAGCCTTAGCGTAAGGAACTTAAATATATTAAATAATACTAAATACTACTTAATACTATATTATAGGGGAGGCCCTAGGCCTAAGTATTAAATTTATTAAGTTGATCTAGACCTAGAGTCTAGATCCAGACTAGATTGACTAGAAAGATTATCTGTTAAAAAAATATATCTAGATAGATCTATTTTTAGGCTATTCAATAAAATCAATAAGTATTTAGTATAAATATTCTATAGGCCTAATGATTGTACTAATAAATAGTAGAATCTACTTATCTAGAACTGTAATAGATAGTATCGTATCTAGAATCTAGTATCTGAATCTAAGTATAGTAGTGATACTAATTTAATTTACTAATAGTAGGCCCAATAGAAATAAAGTAGACCGTCTGACTAGTGTGGTGGATTTAGACTAGATCTAGATATAGTTTTAAGTTTTAGTATTGCTATACTAGCGTCTATCTTATACTCTATATTTCAGTTAATTATAATAATAGATAAATTAAATTAGGCCCATATTTTATATTATTACAAAGTGTCGCTGGTATAGATAGTTTTAGACTTGTCGTATAGTAAATAGTAATTAGTAGGGCAGTATATACATGTAGTCTAATTAATGATTAGTCTAATTAGTTAGAGCCTACTTGTTTAAATATATTTACTATTTAGTAGTATTAATAAAGTATAGTTACTCTATTCAAAGAATAGTTATTAGGTATAATACACAACCTCATAATCGCAAAATCATGACATTAGTGACTCAGTTATTTAGTAGGCCAATAAGTTCTATATTAATATAATTTTAATAGTTAATACTTCTTAAATTACTAGATTTGTACAAATGAATACATTTTATTTTAGATAATTTAGGCTATGATACTGCTGAATACTTCAGTTACATTAGTATTATGAATTAGGGCCTATTTAGAGGTAATTATTAAATTACTAATTAGACGTATGATAACTTATGTTGGTCTAATAACTAATAGATTCATATTTAATAGCAGTAGGTCTGTAGGTATAGAATAGTATTGTAAAAAAATAAAGTATGCTTAATTTTTTACAGTTGTCATATTAATTTTAGTTTTAGTAGGTAGTAGTAGGCCTGTGATAGCGCAGGTAGTTAGTATTAGTATGTAAGTTAAACACAGTTAACTACTATAACTAAGCTTAATAAGGCTACAATTTTAAACTAAAAATTACACGCAGCCTAAATAAAAGGTTACAGACTAGTGCATTAAATAATATCCAAAATTTAAGTTTAATCTACATTAGTTTAATAATTGTAAAAATTACTGAATAGAACAGTAGGCTTACTTGTGAAGAGCTGTCTCATTTTAGTTCTACTTAATTAATATATGACTTAGTCTACTCTTAGTCTCCTGTAGTTATCTTTTGAACTTATTAAAAAATGCAGAATAGTTAATTAAGCCAAAAGGTGTCAATTGTCATAGATGGATTAACTTACTATTCAAATCAATATAATTATACTTATTTATTCTAGTAGGTGTATGAATTGATGATAGTTTTAGTAGCCTAGTTTGAATATAAATTTTCAACTAATTCTTGAGGTGGCTAAACATAAGTAGTAGACCTTTATTGATACATTTTTAATTTTGTTTTTTTTTTATGATATATACATGACTTTTGACACTTTTGAAGACCTATTGTATTTAATGACAAACTCCTTACATTAAAATATTAAAAGAAAATCTTAGATCTATATATTTAATGAATGGTAATAATTAGATAGCCCATACAATCCCATGCATAAATAGTCCCATCATTGCTTTATGATTTTTATAAGACAGACAAATATTTTTAATTATACCATACAATGTTAAAGTATATAAATGTAATGAGTTTAATATAACAGTTTGTGAAATTTATTTGTTTTTTTTTTAGATACTACATACAGAGAAGATAAGTCAGATGAAGTTCCTTTTAAAAACTCTTATCACTGAATCCTCCAGTTCTGAAGACTTAATATACAGTATTCTTCAACAGTGGTCAGGCTTGACTGAAAATGGCCTACACATACCTATTAGATCCAACTAGTCCAAGGATACATGTTGGACCCAAGAAAACTTGTTCATATTGAACAACTTTTTTTTTAATATATTAGTTCTGAATGTAATTAAAAAAGAAATTTATAAAGTTTGTTATGTTTATTTTTTTCAGCACTGGTTGTGTGTGATGGTGTATGCGGAAACTAATTATTGTTACCTTAATTTAATAATTGACTTAAACTGGCGAACTATAAATAGTTTTTAAGAATATGGTGCTGAAGTAGATTTCACCTAGTTTTGTTGCCCTTCCATATTAATAAATTGTATGGTCAGGAAAATATCAAACAGCTTTTACTGTCCATAACCAGTCAGGTACCAGTTAACTGCTTTGAATTTGAATCAGAGACAACCTAAAGGATTAAAATTTAAACTCAAGAACTTTTGCTTTAGCAAATGTGTTCACAAATATGTAGTCCCACTATAAGTCTTTCATTTGAATATTATTTACATATAAGTTTATATCAATATATAATCTATCATTTGTTAATATTATTCCTAGTCCAAACAACATGCTGATATGAAACCCATTGTATTACAAGAAGAAAATAAGGAATGAAAATTTCCCATAAGACAGCTTGCTTATAATAATACAAATAATAATAAAAGGGCAATGTCTGCAAACAATTATACTTTAATTTTTTATTTAGAATTTTCTACTTTGTATTATATCTCGTTCAAAACGAACAATTATTAAAATATCTTATGTTATGGTTTAAGCTTCAACTTTAGTATTTTGTAACTATTACTTAAATTTTCTACAATGTTAAAAATAAAACTACTATATCTATCATAGCTGTAAAACATGATAAGGGAAGAATCAAGAATATGGGTTTTTGTCAATTCTAGCCATACCAGCATATAAATGTAGACCAAGCTTATAGAAATATGGCTGATAACTAACCATAAACCACAAATACAGCAAACTATAATAACTGCTTGTTTCCTGGTAATGTGTTGTTATTGGCTGTGCAAGTTTATAAACATTTTGTAATTGTTTATACATTACAAAAGAAAAAGACTGTAGCTGATCAGATGCATTCCAGATATTTGAGGAAAAGATGTTTTCTATAAGGATAGGCAGCTATAGCAAATGAGGTATGGGGAAATGTTGAGTTAAGATAAACTATTTAATAATTGTAATGACAGAGATACCTTCACAGCAACAAATGTAATTGGGTTTGTATGACTAATTAATGAATATCCTATAAATAAATATAAAATGCTGAGGTGGTCGTCTATAAACGACTTTGAGGTGGTGGTGGAGATTTGGACCTTTGTGTCAAAGGGGAGGGGGTTCAGAAAGTAAGATGACACTTTTCCATGTTCAACAAACACTCATGTTAAGAAACTGAATTTAAGCCTTTATTGCATTATTAAAAGTTGGTTTATAAATTGTTGTAAATAATTCATCAATAGGCCTACATTGAATGCTGGAAAAGCCCATAGGTCTAAATATTTTATGAAAATCGCTGCTTTAAAAACAAACTAGGGGGGGGGGAATGTTGGCTTAGGTTTACTTCTTTGGGGAAGGGGGAGGTCTGGCATCGTTGTGACATCGTTAATAGATGACCCCATAGTCAGAGGTCGATCTAGATTGCTTAGGCCTATATTAAAATGTTGATATTAATTACGCTTTACTTATTATTACAATGGAATATAGCCTAGTAGTTTAATTATGTTAAATAATATAACATCCCCTTTCACCACAACACCCTGACTATACTAATCCAAATTAAAATAAAAATGTTTGGTAAATTACTATTATATTATTAGTAATTTTGTGTTTAAAATTCTAGCCTTAGTAAAAACCGGAAGTGATTTTTACTTATTTCACAAATGTTATAAAATATTCAATTTTGGTTCAAAAATATGCTTTCTGGCAACACAAAGTGGAACCACTTTTGGAACCACTTTTCCTACCTATTACCTTATAATGTGATCTACCTCTGCGCCTGATTTAAAATGTAGTGCTACACTATATACTCGCTAAAAATTGAGACACATTTAACGATACAAACAAAAGATTCCATCCTGTTCTGTAACATTTTATTTGGGTGCTGGCGACAGGGAATTCCCTATTTGTGTTGCAAAACGTTAGAAAACAACATCATTACTAGGTCTAGCGTTGGAAGGCTACCGACGGTTAACAAGCACTTATTAAGTTGTCTTTCTAACTTAATTTATGCTCTCAATGAAAATGCACATTTTTTTTCGTCTGAATAAAAATAAATTATCTGTGATGATATTATCAAAATAAAGTGTATATTGTGTTTTTGAATCAAGTTGGTACAAAGTCAATGTATAATGAACTTACCAATACAGCCTTTTACTTTTAGACAACAAGGCAATATAGCCTATCATGACAGCAGTGTTTCTTCCAGCCTTTTTTTTATCTGTGTGGGGGGGGGGGGGGGGGCACTTGATATTTTCGTGGGGGGGGGGGCGGCCAACATTTTCCGGGGGGCGGACACTGGTAAAAGTATATGTTTTCTATATAAATTCCATGACGTTGGTGGGGGGGGGGGGGGGAACTTTCTTCTCTTTCTTCTGGGGGGGGGGGGGGGGGGTGGGATGCCTGGAAGAAACTGCTTGACAGAAAAGAAATCTAAAAAAAAAAAGAACGTGCAATTATGATTTCCAGAGACAGGTTTGACAATACAAAAACAAACAAAATAAAACATGATATACAATCTTTGACAAGGAATTTATTTTTACAGCGGAAATTGGTCAAAATGAGTGACCGGTAATATAAACAATACAATTTTAAACAATACAAACTAGTTATATGTCACTAGCTAGTTTTTTTTACGCAAAACTTGATTGGTTTGTTTCCGGTACGAGATACTGGATCAACTTTCAATAGACGAACTAAACTTGACTGTCTTGCGTTCGGTTTTTTTGTCCACTAGCGTGCTGCGCATACTGCTTGACGACTTTTCGGATTTCTCCGGCGTCACTCTGCTCACGTCATCGACGCTCGACTCGGCGTCTTTGTTACTCCGCGCAGACGCGCTGTCGCTGGCGGAGCTGGCAGTGGTGGTGGTGGCGTCCGTCGTTTGGGTGGTGTCGGTGGTGTAACTGACGTCGGTGGTGTGGGTCAGACCGGAATCCGTTACTCTTGCTGACGATTTGCTGTTGTCTTCTATCAAGGTTGGAGATGGTGTGGCTGTGAGGATGCAGAAGTTTCAGTTAGCTAGCGAATGGTGGCAAGAAAAAAAAATAGCGAGTATTGAATGAAAATGGAAATATTTTAGGTAATTAACACTTGAAACTGGAAGGTTCATATTGTTTGAACTAGTACCCAGGTACCCGAGTTCAATTATGATTCTTGCAAGCAAAACAAGATGACGCCCATCCTATCGATAGCGTGCGTATGCATACACACACACACACGCGCACACACAACACACACAAACAACACACACACGCCTAAAACTCACACACACAAACATTTACATACACTACCACCCATGCAAACACACTAACTCTAGCTCTCCAGAGTTCTCTGCCCTGCTGGAGTATGGGCCACCAACTACAGCTCTCCAGAGTTCTCTGTCCTGCTGGAGTATGGGCCACCAACTACAGCTCTCCAGAGTTCTCTGTCCTGCTGGAGTATGGGCCACCAACTACAGCTCTCCAGAGTTCTCTGTCCTGCTGGAGTATGGGCCACCAACTACAGCTCCCCAGAGTTCTCTGTCCTGCTGGAGTATGGGCCACCAACTATAGCTCTCCAGAGTTCTCTGTCCTTCTGGAGTATAGGCCACCAACTACAGCTCTCCAGAGTTCTCTGTCCTGCTGGAGTATGGGCCGCCAACTACAGCTCTCCAGAGTTCTCTGTCCTGCTGGAGTATGGGCCACCAACTACAGCTCCCAAGAGTTCTCTGTCCTGCTGGAGTATGGGCCACCAACTACAGCTCTCCAGAGTTCTCTGTCCTGCTGGAGTATGGGCCACCAACTACAGCTCTCCAGAGTTCTCTGTCCTGCTGGAGTATGGGCCACCAACTACAGCTCCCAAGAGTTCTCTGTCCTGCTGGAGTATGGGCCACCAACTACAGCTCTCCAGAGTTCTCTGTCCTGCTGGAGTATGGGCCACCAACTACAGCTCTCCAGAGTTATCTGTCCTGCTGGAGTATGGGCCGCCAACTACAGCTCTCCAGAGTTCTCTGTCCTGCTGGAATATGGGCCACAATCTACAGCTCTCCAGAGTTCTCTGTCCTGCTGGAGTATGGGCCACCAACTACACTCTCTTTCCTGCTGGAGTATGGGCCGCCAACTACAGCTCTCCAGAATTCTCTGCTCTGCTGGAGTATGGGCCGCCAACTACAGCTCTCCAGAGTTCTCTGTCCTGCTGGAGTATGGGTCACCAACTACAGTTCTCCAGAGTTCTCTGTGCTACTGGAGTATGGTCTACACGGGCCTGCTAGTACCAACTGCACCAACAACGAGCATTGCCAGTACTCACCAACGTACTCGTCGTCCCGCTGCCGACACGTCTCTCTGATAGGCCGAATGATCAACAGGTACCAGACGGGAAACGCCAGCAGCACCACTAGTACCATCAGTATCAACAGAATGGTGAGCATGAGAGAGCTGCGTCGCTCCTGTACTGTAGATGTGAACAACGTTAACAAGCTGGTCAAAGTCTGGGCTGGTGGTACTATACAAGTATTATACAGGTACTATACAGGTATTATACAGGTACTATACAGGTATCATACAGGTAATATATAGGTATTATACAGGTATTATAAGTTACTATACAAGTATTATACAGGTAATATATAGGTATTATACAGGTATCATACAGGTACTACACAAGTATTTTACAGGTAATATACATGTAGTATATATAGGTATTATACAGGTATTATACAGGTACTATACAAGTATTATACAGGTAATATATATGTAATATATATTGGTATTATACAGGTATTATACAGGTACTATACAAGTATTATACAGGTAATATACATGTAATATATATTGGTATTATACAGGTATTATACAGGTACTATACAAGTATTATACAGGTAATATACATGTAATATATATAGGTATTATACAGGTATTATAAGGTACTATACAAGTATTATACAGGTAATATATAGGTATTGTACAGGTATCATACAGGTACTATACAAGTATTATACATGTAATATACATGTAGTATATATAGGTATTATACAGGTATTATACAGGTATTATACAGGTACTATACAAGTATTATACAGGTAATATACAAGTAATATATAGGTATTATACAGGTATTATACAGGTACTATACAAGTATTTTACAGGTACTATATAGGTACTATACAGGTACTATACATGTATTACATAGGTTTCTATTCAGGTATTAAACAGATATTAATCAGGTAATAAACAGTTATTATACTGGTATTAAACAAGTATAAAAATGTATTAATCATGAATTAAAAAGTTATGAATCAATTATTAAGCAGGTATTAAGAATATGTTCCAATTTTAGCTAGCTATAAGGAAAAGGGGACTATGTGATAACCTGGTATTAGCCAGATATTTTTCAGATATTAATTATATGTTAATTAGTCATTAGCTAATTATCAGTCGGGTACTAGTCAGTCTCTGTCCAGGTGTTTTCAGGTAAAAGCTATTTAGCTGCCCTGTATTTGCAATGTATTAATCAGGTTTTAAATGCTATCGAAAGGTGTTAATTTAATTTAATGGCATCACACACAAACACACACACAAACACACACACAAAATTTAGCTTACCTTTACAATCAGGGGCAATAAATCCTGCAGCACAGCCGTGAGAACAATGCCCAGTAAATTGGTTACAGGTGTGATCTCCTCCACAATTCTCACACCCTATTAAATAAAGGGCAATTTATTTCTATTTTATACACTTTCCTATATATATATATATATATATGTATATATATATATATATATATATATATATATATATATATATATATATATATATATATATATGTATATATATATATATATGTATATATGTATATATTTATTTATTTATTTATTTATTTATTTATTTGGAAAAACATAGTTTTGCAATTTCATCCGTATGTCTGTGTGTGTGTATGTGTGTATGTGTGTGTTAGTGAACACGATAACTTGAGTACCGTTAGCTAGGTTGCTGAAATTTCATATTTAAGTATTATATCAAATTTGTGGTTCTGTATAAACTTTTCATTCAGCAATTTCCGGTAACCGGAAGTGGAACTTATTCTACTTTCAATTTGTCAAAAGCCATAACTTGAGTACTGTTTCAGGAAGACCAACGAAATTTCACATGTAAGTAAATGAATTGCCGGCCTTTTTTCCGTTAACCGGAAGTAGTAATTTACGCTATTTCCAATTTCTCCAAAAGCAAATATGAATTTATAAAGCACTAATAATCCGCACTCATATACAAATATTGTTTGCTGTTCACTTAGTGCGCAATTCTTTTTTCTACGAGATGCTATTCTATTATAAAAAGTTTAAGTAATTAAAACTTGATTAAAAGTCATGTCTATTTCACGAGTTGGCATCCCCCTTTGCTTTATATAAGCATATTTGAGAAAGTTTAGGGGAGATCACTCCAGCTTTGTTTACGTTAGAAATGAAGAAATAAATTTATTACATTAAATTATCTTTTATTGAACACATCTTTGATCGAAATAATCCAGCAAGCTAAGCATCAGTTTCACCCACTTAATCAACTTAGTGCTGACCAGTCAATAATTTCATACGCAGATGTCACAGAAACAGGTGAACTCTACTTCACCTGCCTCAAGAATCGACCATCTGTGCCTTTAAACTTGTTGGTTGGATAACAATAAGAACGACATTTGAACTTACTGTCGATACAATCGACCTTTGAACTTACTGTCCTTACAATTGACCTTTGAACTTACTGTCCTTACAATTGACCTTTGAACTTACTGTCGTTACAATCGACCTTTGAACTTTCTGTCGTTACAATTGACCTTTGAACTTACTGTCCTTACAATTGACCTTTGAACTTACTGTCCTTAAAATCGACCTTTGAACTTACTGTCGTTACAATTGACCTTTGAACTTACTGTCGTTACAATCGACCTTTGAACTTACTGTCGTTACAATTGACCTTTTAACTTACTGTCATAACAATTGACCATTGAACTTACTGTCCTTACAATTGACCTTTGAACTTACTGTCCTTACAATTGACCTTTGAACTTACTGTCGTTACAATCGACCTTTGAACTTACTGTCGTTACAATTGACCTTTGAACTTACTGTCCTTACAATTGACCTTTGAACTTACTGTCCTTACAATTGACCTTTGAACTTACTGTCGTTACAATTGACCTTTGAACTTACTGTCGTTACAATCGACCTTTGAACTTACTGTCGTTACAATTGACCTTTTAACTTACTGTCATAACAATTGACCATTGAACTTACTGTCCTTACAATTGACCTTTGAACTTACTGTCCTTACAATTGACCTTTGAACTTACTGTCGTTACAATCGACCTTTGAACTTACTGTCGTTACAATCGACCTTTGAACTTTCTGTCGTTACAATTGACCTTTGAACTTACTGTCCTTACAATTGACCTTTGAACTTACTGTCGTTACAATTGACCTTTGAACTTACTGTCGTTACAATCGACCTTTGAACTTACTGTCGTTACAATTGACCTTTTAACTTACTGTCATAACAATTGACCATTTATCTTACTGTCCTTACAATTGACCTTTGAACTTACTGTCGTTACAATTGACCTTTTAACTTACTGTCCTTACAATTGACCATTGAACTTACTGTCGTTACAATTGACCTTTGAACTTACTGTCCTTACAATTGACCTTTGAACTTACTGTCCTTACAATTGACCTTTGTACTTACTGTCGTTACAATCGACCTTTGAACTTACTGTCCTTACAATTGACCTTTGAACTTACTGTCCTTACAATTGACCTTTGAACTTACTGTCCTTACAATTTACCTTTGAACTTACTGTCCTTACAATTGACCATTGAACTTACTGTCCTTACAATTGACCTTTGAACTTACTGTCCTTACAATTGACCTTTGAACTTACTGTCCTTACAGTTGACCTTTGAACTTACTGTCCTTACAATTGACCTTTGAACTTACTGTCCTTACAATTGACCTTTGAACTTACTGTCCTTACAATTAACCATTGAACTTACTGTCCTTACAATTGACCTTTGAACTTACTGTCCTTACAATTGACCTTTGAACTTACTGTCCTTACAATTGACCTTTGAACTTACTGTCCTTACAATTGACCTTTGAACTTACTGTCCTTACAATTGACCTTTGAACTTACTGTCCTTACAGTTGACCTTTGAACTTACTGTCCTTACAATTGACCGTTGAACTTACTGTCCTTACAATTGACCTTTGAACTTACTGTCCTTACAATTGATCTTTGAACTTACTGTCCTTACAGTTGACCTTTGAACTTACTGTCCTTACAATTGACCTTTGAACTTACTGTCCTTACAATTGACCTTTGAACTTACTGTCCTTACAATTGACCTTTGAACTTACTGTCCTTACAATTGACCTTTGAACTTACTGTCCTTACAATTGACCTTTGAACTTACTGTCCTTACAATTGACCTTTGAACTTACTGTCCTTACAATTGACCTTTGAACTTACTGTCCTTACAATTGACCTTTGTACTTACTGTCGTTACAATCGACCTTTGAACTTACTGTCCTTACAATTGACCTTTGAACTTACTGTCCTTACAATTGACCTTTGAACTTACTGTCCTTACAGTTTACCTTTGAACTTACTGTCCTTACAATTGACCTTTGAACTTACTGTCCTTACAATTGACCTTTGAACTTACTGTCCTTACAATTGACCTTTGTACTTACTGTCGTTACAATTGACCTTTGAACTTACTCTCCTTACAATTGACCTTTGAACTTACTCTCCTTACAATTGACCTTTGAACTTACTGTCCTTACTATTGACCTTTGTACTTACTGTCGTTACAATTGACCTTTGAACTTACTGTCCTTACAATTGACCTTTGAACTTACTGTCCTTACAATTGACCTTTGAACTTACTGTCCTTACAATTGACCTTTGAACTTACTGTCCTTACAACTGACCCCTCTAAACCCTGGCTGACATCCGGACCAGCACTGACCGTCGTCCCTGCCGCAGGTGGTCGTGTTCCAACACCTGTCGCAGGCTGCAGGGAGCACAAAAAGTTTTCTTTTATTGCGTTAATTAGCGCGTGAAGATAAAAATCGCAGAGAATGGGGTCGTTTTTTCGAGGTCATTTTGTCAAGGCCGTTTTGTTGGGATCGTTTAGTTGGGGCAGTATTATTTGTGTCGTTTTGTCGGTGTCATTTTGTCGAAGTCGTTATATCGAGGTCGTTTTGTAAGAGCTGTTTTAGTCGCGGTCATTTTGTTAAGGTCTTTTTGTCGGGGCCGTATTGACGGTGCACAAGAGCAGGTTACCCATGACGTAATGCACACGTGACTCACAAATATCACAGGTGGGTCCGCCATAATGTGGTACACACCCCAGCGTGCAGTTTCCGCTCCTCTGGTCGCAGAGTTGGTCTATACACTTGTCGCAGGCTGTGAACAAATTTTAAGTAGCAACATTATTGTTCTATACACTTGTCGCAGGCTGTGAACAAATTTTAAGTAGCAACATTATTGTTCTATACATTTGTCGCAGGCTGAGGAACAAATTTTAAGTAGCAACATTATTGTTCTATACATTTGTTGCAGGCTGAGGAACAAATTCTAAGTAGCAACATTTATGTTCTATACATTTGTCGCAGGCTGAGGAACAAATTCTAAGTAGCAACATTTATGTTCTATACATTTGTCGCAGGCTGAGGAACAAATTCTAAGTAGCAACATTTATGTTCTATACATTTGTTGCAGGCTGAGGAACAAATTTTAAGTAGCAACATATTTTCTATACATTTGTCGCAGGGCTAGGGATGTGGGAAGTGGTAAGAATTGGTATAAAATGTATTGTAATGGATGGTAGAATCTGAGCTACGACAAATACCCGAAAGAAAGTTGCCCGAAATATTAAATTTTTTTTCGGGCTAACGGCATTCGAGCAAGTGTCCATTCGGGCGTTTGTCGCAGTTGGGCAAGCGTCTATTCGGGCATTTGTCGCATTTGGGCAAGTATCCATTCAGGCATTTGTTGCATTTGGGAAAACGGATTTTGGGGGAGGGGGTGAAACGTCTTGTTCTCGGGACACAAACATGAGGAAAGGGGATGAATATTAGGTGAAGCAGAGATTATTTGACGTGTTGATGGGGGGATGGACCGGTAAACTTGGTAAAACACAAACACAATCACAAGCCTACCCTGTGTACAGTTGTCTCCATAGTAACCCTTCCCACAACCGTGGATACACACACCACTGAACTGTTCACACGAACCATCGACAGCACACATCCCACAATCTGGGAAACAAGAAAGTAAGTTGTTATATCAGTACACCGTGGGAAACAGGCAAGTAAAACGAAATTTGAAAATAGTCGACACAACTAAAACCACCACACCAAGTGTGCAAATAGCCAAAAGCACATTTAGTCTGAAACAAGTATCATAAAAAAACAAATTGTGTTAATAAACGACAACTTATTTCAATAAACATCAACACATTCTGTCAATAGGCAACACCATTGATCACTCTTAAAACCATGGGCAGACATCAAATGGGCAAAGACTCTGACAATAAACTACTCCGGTCCTATAGTTTTAAATTACCCCGATCCCCTGTCTATATATAACCTGTTGTCTCTAGCAACATATAACCCAGGGTCCTCGTCTATAAATAACCGGTGGCCCCTGACTATACATCATCAGGTGCCTGTCTATATATAACCTGTTGTCCCTAGCAACATATAACCCAGGGTCCTCGTCTATAAATAACCCTGGCAATACATCACCCCGTACCTGTCTATAAATAAACCATGGGCTCTGGGGTGGGGGGGGGCACACTTAGCATTTCCAAAGTGTACGGACACGGGATAAAGTTTATAATTTCTATACAATTTTTTTCTATTTTCCTATTTTGCCCGGAGTTGTTGCGGTTGATTTGGCCTTGCTCGGAAAACGGGAGGGGGCAATGCAAAATGCCTAAAAGAAACTGAATAAACACACAAACTAGACCTAGACTACTCACCCTCATCACATTATATCGACCAGTGATGACTACTCACCCTCATCACATGATATCGACCAGTACCAGACTACTCACCCTCATCACATGATATCGACCAGTACCAGACTACTCACCCTCATCACATGATATCGACCAGAACAGTACCAGACTACTCACCCTCATCACATGATATCAACCAGTACCAGACTACTCACCCTCATCACATGATATCGACCAGACTACTCACCCTCATCACGTGATATCGACCAGACTACTCAACCTCATCACATGATATCGACCAGTACCAGACTACTCACCCTCATCACATGATATCGACCAGTTCCAGACTACTCACCCTCATCACATGATATCGACCAGACTACTCACCCTCATCACATGATATCGACCAGTACCAGACTACTCACCCTCATCACATGATATCGACCAGACTACTCACCCTCATCACATGATATCGACCAGACTACTCACCCTCATCACATGATATCGACCAGACTACTCACCCTCATCACATGATATCGACCAGACTACTCACCCTCATCACATGATATCGACCAGTACCCCTCCCTGCACTCCCCAGCACAGTAGCCTGTCTCCCTGTCACATGATACCCGGCAGTTGGGGCAGGCTAAAGGTTGTCAACGTCATCCAGGTGAGATTGGAATAAAGGTAACATAAAGTAATCAAAAGTTGTCCATGTCATCCAGGTAAGATTGGAATAAAGGTAACATAAAGTAATCAAAAGTTGTCCATCTCATCCAGGTAAGATTGGAATAAAGGTAACATAAAGTAATCAAAAGTTGTCCATCTCATCCAGGTAAGATTGGAATAAAGGTAACATAAAGTAATCAAAAGTTGTCCATCTCATCCAGGTAAGATTGGAATAAAGTAACATAAAGTAATCAAAAGTAATACATTTTCACTTTTTAGTAAAAATGACTTTATATCGGAACAATTAAAATAACGTATTCATTTTAAAAACAACCACTTCATAGTTTAAATATTTCTGTAGGTAAAACATTGCCGTCTTAGTTTGATTATTGATGCCACTACTTTATATTTAAGAAGTAAAGTAAAGGTAATGATCCGAATGCTATCTTACTTTTGCTACAAATGTTTTAGATTATAACTAATGCGGTTTAAAATGAAAGTAAAAGTAAAAAATCCTTTAAAAATCTTAATTTTGTTACAAATTTCATCAATTATTATTAATGACGACTTAATTAAAGTAATAATTCTTTTAATATTTTTGTTACAAATTTAAATTTTTTATACTGTTAAATAAAAAGTTAAGTAAAAGTAAAAAAATCTCGGAATATCTTTGCTACAAGTTTAATAGATTGGATTATAATGATGTTAATTTGAAAATTAAAGTAAAATTAATAATTCCACCAATATCTTTGTTACAAATTTAATAGTTTATATAAATATTAATTAAAATGTAAAAGTAACAATTCCTCTGAATATCTTTGCTATAGAACATAATGTTAAATTTTAAAACGTTAAGTATAAGTCACAATTCCTGTAAAATTCTTACTTTGTTGACAAAAGTCGCCCATGAATAAGTTTTTACAGCCGTCAACACAATACCCATCCTCTTTCATACACGAACCGTCACCTGCACAGTTTGTACACGCTGAAAGAAACGTAAACAACATCATGACGTAACCACGAGGTAGTCTGTCAATGACGTCACACGACAGGAAATTTTTATACTTTTGTTACTGTGTTAATAAAAGGAGTGATTGTTTAAAATATTAAACGCTGCTTAAAAGAGTTGTGTTTTATTTATAGCGTCTTACTGTACAGGGATATTATCTATTAATACTAATAGTTTCGCTGTCTGTGTATCTGACAAGAACGCTCTGTCTGACAAGAACGCTCTAGAGAAAACACAAGCAATTTAAAAACATGCACAGTAATTCGAAAAACGAAATATGACGTCGACACATTTAGCGCACAGAGTAGAAAATAATCTCAAACCCAGAGAGTGCTCAAAGTTATATGACGTCATTGATTTTCGCGTTAACATTGAATAAAAAGGAAATGTTGTCTAATCTTAATGGTTTGCGTGAAGAGTTTCTTGCATACAATTCTTCGGGTAGGGGCGAAGCCCCACCCCCCGCGTAAGAACGTCTGAGCCCCCCCCCCCCCTCGGGGAGGGGGCGGACACTGGAAAAAGTATATAATTATATTTCGTTGAATGGGACGGTAGACATGTTTTTTTTTGGGGGGGGGGGGGGTGGGGGGGGGTGGGGGGGTGGTGTGTGTGGGGGGTGGGGGGTGGTGTGTGTGGGGGGTGGGGTGGTTTTAGTTTAGACTTTTTCCTCCCCAGAGAGGGGTGGGGTACTTGAAATTTTCGGGGGCGGGGGTAGAATTTTCGGGGAAGGGGCGGACACTGGAAAAAGTATATAATTATATTTCGTTGAATGGGACGGTAGGCATGTTTTTTTTTGGGGGGGGGTGGAGGGGTGGGGGGGGTGGTGTGTGTGGGGGGGGGCGGTGTGTGGAGGGGGTGGTGTGTGTGGGGGGTGGGGGGTGGGGGTGGGGGGTGGTGTGTGGGGTGGGGTGGGGTGGGGGTGGTGTGTGTGTGGGGGGGGGGTGGGTTGGTTTTAGTTTAGAGAAAAGAGACAGCACTATCAAGCTAGCGCCCGGTGTATCCTTCCTCAACGGGCCATTTTTCTCGTAATACTAATAGTTTCGCTGTCTGTGTATCTGACAAGAACGCTCTGTCTGACAAGAACGCTCTAGAGAAAACACAAGCAATTTAAAAACATGCACAGTAATTCGAAAAACGAAATATGACGTCGACACATTTAGCGCACAGAGTAGAAAATAATCTCAAACCCAGAGAGTGCTCAAAGTTATATGACGTCATTGATTTTCGCGTTAACATTGAATAAAAAGGAAATGTTGTCTAATCTTAATGGTTTGCGTGAAGAGTTTCTTGCATACAATTCTTCGGGTAGGGGCGAAGCCCCACCCCCCGCGTAAGAACGTCTGAGCCCCCCCCCTCGGGGAGGGGGCGGACACTGGAAAAAGTATATAATTATATTTCGTTGAATGGGACGGTAGACATGTTTTTTTTTGGGGGGGGGGGGGGGGGGTGGGGGGGGGGGGTGGGGGGGTGGTGTGTGTGGGGGGTGGGGTGGTTTTAGTTTAGACTTTTTCCTCCCCAGAGAGGGGTGGGGGTACTTGAAATTTTCGGGGGCGGGGGTAGAATTTTCGGGGAAGGGGCGGACACTGGAAAAAGTATATAATTATATTTCGTTGAATGGGACGGTAGGCATGTTTTTTTTTGGGGGGGGGGGGGGGGGGTGGAGGGGTGGGGGGGTGGTGTGTGTGGGGGGGGGGCGGTGTGTGGAGGGGGTGGTGTGTGTGGGGGGTGGGGGGTGGGGGTGGGGGGTGGTGTGTGGGGTGGGGTGGGGGTGGTGTGTGTGTGGGGGGGTGGGTTGGTTTTAGTTTAGAGAAAAGAGACAGCACTATCAAGCTAGCGCCCGGTGTATCCTTCCTCAACGGGCCATTTTTCTCGTCTATAATAATAGTTTCGCTGTCTGTCTATCTGACAAGAACGCTCTGTCTGACAAGAACGCTCTGTCTGACAAGAACGCTCTAGAGAAAACACAAGCAATTTAAAAACATGCACAGTAATTCGAAAAACGAAATATGACGTCGACACATTTAGCGTAGAGTAGAACATAATCTCAAACCAGAGAGTGCACACAGTAATATGACGTCATTGATTATCGCGTAAACATTGAAAAAAGCAAATTTTATCTAATCTAAGTGGTTTGCGTGAACGAGTTTCTTTCATAGAATTCTTTGGGTAGGGGCGAAGCCCCACCCCCGTGTAAGAACGTCTGAGCCCACCCCCCCCCTCCCTAACTCAAAAGAAATTTCTTTATTGATACTCTATAATAAAATTACCGCCTAATTAATGTGTCTAATCTAAAAAGTGGTTTTCTTGCAATGGGACGGTAGACATGTTTTTTTTTTTGGGGGGGGGGGGGGTGGAGGGGTGGGGGGGGGGTGGAGGGGTGGAGGGGTGGGGTGTTGGAGGGAGGGGGGGGGGGTGTGGGGGGTGGGGGGGGAGGGGTGGGGGGGGGGAGGGGTGGGGGGGGAGGGGTGGGGGGGGGGGGTGGGGGGGTGGAGGGGTGGGGGGGGTGGGGGGGGTGGGGGGGTGTGGGGGGTGTGGGGGGGTGTGGGGGGTGGGGGGGGTGGGTGTGTGGGGGGGGGGGTTGGTTTCAGTGTTTCTTTCAGACTTTTTCCTCCCCGGAGAGGGGTGGGGTTACTTGAAATTTTCGGGGGCGGGGGTAGAATTTTCTGGGAGGGGGCGGACACTGGAAAAAGTATATAATTATATTTCGTTGAATGGGACGGTAGACATGTTTTTTTTGGGGGGGGGGGAGGTGGAGGGGGGGGGGGTGCAGGGGTGGGGGGTGGGGGTGGGGGGCGGTAGTGTGGAGGGGGTGGTGTGTGTGGGGGGGTGTGTGGGGGGGTGGGGGTGTGGTGTGGGGGGTGGGGGTGGTGTGTGTGTGGGGGGGGTGTTGGTTTAGTTTAGAGAAAAGAGACAGCACTATCAGCCTAGCGCCCGTTGTACCCTTCCTCAACGGGGCCATTTTTCTCGTCTATAATAATAGTTTCGCTGTCTGTCAAGAACGCTCTGTCTGACAAGAACGCTCTAGAGAAAACACAAGCAAAATAAAAACATGCACAGTAATTCGAAAAACGAAATATGACGTCGACACATTTAGCGTAGAGTAGAACATAATCTCAAACCAGAGAGTGCACACAGTAATATGACGTCATTGATTATCGCGTAAACATTGAAAAAAAGGAAATGTTGTTCTAATCTAAATGGTTTGCGTGAAGAGTTTCTTGCATACAATTCTTCGGGTAGGGGCGAAGCCCCACCCCCCGCGTAAGAAACGTCTGAGCCCCCCCCCCCCTCCACAACTCAAAAGAAATTTCCTCATCGATACTCTATAATAAAATTACCGCCTAATTAATGTGTCTAATCTAAAAAGTGGTTTTTCTTGCAATGGGACGGTAGACATGTTTTTTTTTTGGGGGGGGGGGTGGGGGGGTGTGGAGGGGTGGGGTGTGGGGGGGGGTGGGGGGGTTGGGGTGGTGTGTGGGGGTGGGGGTGGGGGTGGTGTGTGGGGGTGGGGGTGGGGGTGGTGTGTGGTGTGTGGGTTGGTTTCAGTGTTTCTTTCAGACTTTTTCCTCCCCCGAGAGGGGTGGGGGTACTTGAAATTTTCGGGGGCGGGGGTAGAATTTTCTGGGAGGGGGGCGGACACTGGAAAAAGTATATAATTATATTTCGTTGAATGGGACGGTAGACATGTTTTTTTTGGGGGTGGGGGGTGGTGGAGGGGTGGGGGTGGGGGGTGGTGTGTGTGTGGGGGGTGGGGGGTGTTGTGTGTGGTGGGGGGGGGGGGTGGGGGGGTGTGTGGGGGGGGGGGGGTGGGGGGTGGTGTGTGGGGGGGGGGTGGGTTGGTTTCAGTGTTTCTTTCAGACTTTTTCCTCCCCGGAGAGGGGTGGGGGTACTTGAAAATTTTCGGGGGCGGGGTGGGAGGGGGCGGACACTGGAAAAAGTATATAATTATATTTCGTTGAATGGGACGGTAGACATGTTTTTTTTGGGGGTGGGGGGTGGTGGAGGGGTGGTGTGTGTGGGGGGGGGTGGGGGGTGGGGGGTGGTGTGGGGGTGGGGGGTGGTGTGTGTGTGGGGGGGGGGGGGGGTGGGGGGTGGTGTGTGTGGGGGGGGGTGGGGGGTGGTGTGTGGGGGGGGGTGGGTTGGTTTCAGTGTTTCTTTCAGACTTTTTCCTCCCCGGAGAGGGGTGGGGGTACTTGAAATTTTCGGGGGCGGGGGTAGAATTTTCTGGGAGGGGGCGGACACTGGAAAAAGTATATAATTATATTTCGTTGAATGGGACGGTAGACATGTTTTTTTTTGGGGGGTGGGGGGTGAGGGGTTGGGGTGGGGGTGGTGTGTGGTGGGGGGTGGGGGTGGGGGTGAGGGGTTGGGGTGGGGGTGGTGTGTGGTGGGGGGTGGGGGTGGTGTGTGGGGGTGGGGGGTGGGGTGGGGGTGGTGTGTGGGGGGTGGGTTGGTTTTAGTTTAGAGAAAAGAGACAGCACTATCAGCCTAGCGCCCGTTGTACCCTTCCTCAACGGGCCATTTATCTAGTTAATACTAATAGTTTCGCTGTCTGTCTGTCTATCTGACAAGAACGCTTTGTCTGACAAGAACGCTCTAGAGAAAACACAAGCAAAATAAAAACATGCACAGTAATTCGAAAAACGAAATATGACGTCGACACATTTAGCGTAGAGTAGAACATAATCTCAAGGCGGAAAGTGCACACAGTAAAATGACGTCATTGATTATCGCGTAAACATTGAAAAAAGGAAATGTTGTCTAATCTAAATGGTTTGCGTGAAGAGTTTCTTGCATACATTTCTTCGGGTAGGGGCGAAGCCCCACCCCCCGCGTAAGAACGTCTGAGCCCCCCCCCCCCCCTCCACAACTCAAAAGAAATTTCCTCATCGATACTCTATAATAAAATTACCGCCTAATTAATGTGTCTAATCTAAAAAGTGGTTTTCTTGCAATGGGACGGTAGACATGTTTTTTTTTTATGGGGGGGGGGTTGGGGTGGAGGGGTGGGTGTGGGGGGGTGTGGGGGGGGGGGGGTTGGGGTGGTGTGTGGGGGTGGGGGGGGTGGTGTGTGGTGTGTGGGTTGGTTTCAGTGTTTCTTTCAGACTTTTTCCTCCCCGGAGAGGGGTGGGGGTACTTGAAATTTTCGGGGGCGGGGGTAGAATTTTCTGGGAGGGGGCGGACACTGGAAAAAGTATATAATTATATTTCGTTGAATGGGACGGTAGACATGGTTTTTTTTTGGGGGGGGGGGGCGGTGGAGGGGGGGTTGGAGGGGTGGGGGGTGGGGGTGGGGGTGGGGGGGCGGTGTGTGGAGGGGGTGGTGTGTGTGGGGGGTGGGGGTGGGGGGTGGGGATGGTGTGTCGGGGTGGGGGTGGTGTGTGGGGGGTGGGTTGGTTTCAGTGTTTCTTTCAGACTTTTTCCTCCCCGGAGAGGGGTGGGGGTACTTGAAATTTTCGGGGGCGGGGGTAGAATTTTCTGGGAGGGGGCGGACACTGGAAAAAGTATATAATTATATTTCGTTGAATGGGACGGTAGACATGGTTTTTTTTTGGGGGGGGGGGCGGTGGAGGGGGGGTTGGAGGGGTGGGGGGTGGGGGTGGGGGTGGGGGGGCGGTGTGTGGAGGGGGTGGTGTGTGTGGGGGGTGGGGGTGGGGGGTGGGGATGGTGTGTCGGGGTGGGGGTGGTGTGTGGGGGGGTGGGTTGGTTTCAGTGTTTCTTTCAGACTTTTTCCTCCCCGGAGAGGGGTGGGGGTACTTGAAATTTTCGGGGGCGGGGGTAGAATTTTCTGGGAGGGGGCGGACACTGGAAAAAGTATATAATTATATTTCGTTGAATGGGACGGTAGACATGGTTTTTTTGGGGGGGGGGGCGGTGGAGGGGGGGGGGGTTGGAGGGGTGGGGGGTGGGGGTGGGGGGGCGGTGTGTGGAGGGGGTGGTGTGTGTGGGGGGGTGGGGTTGGGTTGGGGGGTGGGGATGGTGTGTGGGGGTGGGGGTGGTGTGTGGTGGGGGGTGGGGGTGGTGTCTGGGGGGGGGTGGGGTTGGGTTGGGGGGTGGGGATGGTGTGTGGGGGTGGGGGTGGTGTGTGGTGGGGGGTGGGGGTGGTGTCTGGGGGTCGGGGGGGGTGGGGGTGGGGGTGGTGTGTGGGGGGGTGGGTTGGTTTTAGTTTAGAGAAAAGAGACAGCACTATCAGCCTAGCGCCCGTTGTACCCTTCCTCAACGGGCCATTTATCTAGTCAAGATATATTTTCCATCTTTTTAAAATATCAATAAATACTAATTTTAAAGCAATTTTTTTCCAGTTTGGAAAGCGATATAATCTTCAATATTAAGCAATATTTCCCTCTTATAATATCTTTATAATCCAAAATGGAAGTCGATTTTTCTCATTTAAAATATCGATATAATTTAAAATATAAAGATATTTTTTTCTATCTTAAAATATCGAAATTATCGTAAATATAAAGAATATTTGCCCTTAATTTATATCGATATAATCCTAAATATATATCAATTTTTATGTTTTAAAATATCATAACAATTCTAAATTTTAAGCGTTTTCACTTTTATCAAATCGATATAATCCAAAATATAAATATACTTTCCTCTTAAAGTAAGTATATAATCCTAAATAGAAAGCAATCTTAATACCCTCTTAAAATAAATTATCGTAAATAAAAAGAAACTTTTTTCTTCTTAAAATATTGATATAATCCTAAACATAAAGCTAAACATGGCCCCTATAGTGTTCAATGAAAAACTTCTGATTGATTCGACTCACGTTTTTGACAATCGTCGCCAAAAAATCCCTTGGGGCACTGATCACAGGCACCTGTGTACCTGTCACATGTAGAGTTGTTAGGGCAGGGGTCACACACTGCGGAGATAAATGTGAGCCTGGGTTAGAGTTGTTAGGGCAGGGGTCACACACTGCGGACAGAAATGTGAGCTTGGGGTTAGAGTTGTTAGGGCAGGGGTCACACACTGCGGACAGAAATGTGAGCTTGGGGTTAGAGTTGTTAGGGCAGGGGTCAGCCTGGGGTTAGAGTTGTTAGGGCAGGGATCACATACTGCGGACAGAAATGTGAGCTTGGCGTTAGAGTTGTTAGGGCAGGGGTCACACACTGCGGACAGAAATGTGAGCTTGGGGTTAGAGTTGTTAGGGCAGGGGTCAGCCTGGGGTTAGAGTTGTTAGGGCAGGGGTCACACACTGCAGACAAAAATATGAACCTGGGGTCAGAGTTGTTAGGGCAGGGATCACATACTGCGGACAGAAATGTGAGCTTGGCGTTAGAGTTGTTAGGGCAGGGGTCACACACTGCGGACAGAAATGTGAGCTTGGGGTTAGAGTTGTTAGGGCAGGGGTCAGCCTGGGGTTAGAGTTGTTAGGGCAGGGGTCACACACTGCAGACAAAAATATGAACCTGGGGTCAGAGTTGTTAGGGCAGGGATCACATACTGCGGACAGAAATGTGAGCTTGACGTTAGAGTTGTTAGGGCAGGGGTCACACACTGCGGACAGAAATGTGAGCTTGGGGTTAGAGTTGTTAGGGCAGGGGTCAGCCTGGGGTTAGAGTTGTTAGGGCAGGGGTCACACACTGCAGACAAAAATATGAACCTGGGGTCAGAGTTGTTAGGGCAGGGATCACATACTGCGGACAGAAATGTGAGCTTGGCGTTAGAGTTGTTAGGGCAGGGGTCACACACTGCGGACAGAAATGTGAGCTTGGGGTTAGAGTTGTTAGGGCAGGGGTCAGCCTGGGGTTAGAGTTGTTAGGGCAGGGGTCACACACTGCAGACAAAAATATGAACCTGGGGTCAGAGTTGTTAGGGCAGGGATCACATACTGCGGACAGAAATGTGAGCTTGGCGTTAGAGTTGTTAGGGCAGGGGTCACACACTGCGGACAGAAATATGAACCTAGGGTAAATAGGGTAAACTATAACTATAACCCTAATCCTAGCCCTGATCCTAACCCGAACCCTAACCCCGACCATAACACTAACCCTAGCCCTAAACCTAACCCTAGCCCTAGCCTTAGCCCTTGCCCTAACCCTAGCTGTACCTTAAGCTATGTCCATTTGGGGGGGATGTCCTACTGGGCGGGGGGTAATTACTCCGGGAACAGGGCATTACTCCCCCCTGTCAGAAACCCCCGGACATTTCCCTCCACGACATTACCTCAGGAGTAATCCCCCCCCTGTGAATTACCCCTGTCATTTACCCCCGCCCAGTAGGACATTACCCCCCCCCCCCCGGACAGGGTTAGGGCTAAGGTTAGGGTTAGGGTTAGGGTTAAAATTAGTGCTAGAGCTAGGGCTAGGGTTAGGGTTAGGGTTAGGGTTAGGGTTAGGGTTAGGGTTAGGGCTAAGGTTAGGGTTAGGGTTAGGGTTAGAATTAGTGCTAGAGCTAGGGCTAGGGTTAGGGTTAGGGTTAGGGTTTTGGTTTTGTGTTTTGAGGAAACTCTGGATTACCCCATCCGCTTTCCCCTCGCTACGCCTCCCAGACCCTGATATTATCGACGTTGAGTATACATGTTATCAAAGACACATTCACTGAAACACATAGGCTAAAATGACAAATACAAATACGCACTTCGACCAAAATAGCGTCCATCGCTTTAACTAAAGAATGAAATTTTTTACACACATAATCACTTAATCCATTATACAGAATTTTCCTTATACCAATTACATAGAATAATACAGATTGCACGCAACAACCGTTACCCACCTACAATAATTATACATCAAACACTTACATGAATTATTCATTCAACACAATGTATTATGGACACAATGAATTATATACACAATACCTACATCTATTACACCTGCACTCACCCATTACACGAACACCACTTACACCCATTACACCTGCATATCACCCATTACACTTACACATATTACACACATTACACCAGCACCTCACCCATTACACTTACACCCGCTACACCTGCATATCACCCATTACACGTTCACATATTACACACATTACACCAGCACCTCACCCATTACACTTACACCCATTACACACGCATATCACCCATTACACTTACACCCGTTACACCTGCATATCACCCATTACACGTACACATATTACACCCATTACACCAGCACCTCGCCCATTACACGAACACATATTACACCCATTACACCAGCACTTTACCCATTACACTTACACATATTACACACATTACACCAGCACCTAACCCATTACACTTACACATATTACACCGGTCACCCCTGTAGCCGTGTAGACAGCCGTCTACACACACCGCTGTGTCCTCATCACACTGTTTATTCCCCGCACACTTCCCGCACACTGTGTGGTCAAGAATCAAAGTGGTCAATACACATGACTTTTGCATTGTTTTTTTTTGGTCAGTTTTTTTATCTTTACCATACCATAGAACTTTTTCTATACTGAGTCGAAATAGTCCACAATGTCGATAATTAACTTATATTGTTGAAATTTGCTTAGTCCTTTGGATTACATCAATTGTATATTTTAATTTGTTCTAAAAAATAAATAAAACGAACATTTTATTGTGTCATTTCTGTTCATTAATTATCTTAGCCGTTTTAAATCTAGTAGGGATTACTTGTTTTAAATGTCGATTGTGTGTCCAGTTGATGACTCACCTTATCCAGGTAATGACCCACTTAGTCAAGGTGATGTCATTTGATAAGTCACCTTTCCAATGCCATGACTCACCTTGTCTATGAGATGACGCACCTTGTCTATGAGATGACTCACCTTGTGAGATGACCCACCTTGTCTATGAGATGACTCACCTTGTCTATGAGATGACTCACCTTGTCTAAGAGATGACCCACCTTGTCTAAGAGATGACCCACCTTGTCTATGAGATGACTCACCTTGTCTAAGAGATGACCCACCTTGTCTAAGAGATGACTCACCTTGTCTATGAGATGACCCACCTTGTCTATGAGATGACTCACCTTGTGAGATGACCCACCTTGTCTATGAGATGACTCACCTTGTCTATGAGATGACCCACCTTGTCTATGAGATGACCCACCTTGTCTATGAGATGACTCACCTTGTCTATGAGATGACCCACCTTGTCTATGAGATGACTCACCTTGTGAGATGACCCACCTTGTCTATGAGATGACCCACCTTGTCTATGAGATGACTCACCTTGTGAGATGACCCACCATGTCTATGAGATGACTCACCTTGTCTATGAGATGACTCACCTTGTCTAAGAGATGACCCACCTTGTCTAAGAGATGACCCACCTTGTCTATGAGATGACTCACCTTGTCTATGAGATGACTCACCTTGTCTAAGAGATGACCCACCTTGTCTAAGAGATGACTCACCTTGTCTATGAGATGACCCACCTTGTCTATGAGATGACTCACCTTGTGAGATGACCCACCTTGTCTATGAGATGACTCACCTTGTCTATGAGATGACCCACCTTGTCTATGAGATGACCCACCTTGTCTATGAGATGACTCACCTTGTCTAAGAGATGACCCACCTTGTCTATGAGATGACTCACCTTATGAGATGACCCACCTTGTCTATGAGATGACCCACCTTGTCTATGAGATGACTCACCTTGTGAGATGACCCACCTTGTCTATGAGATGACTCACCTTGTCTATGAGATGACCCACCTTGTCTATGAGATGACTCACCTTGTGAGATGACCCACCTTGTCTATGAGATGACTCACCTTGTCTATGAGATGACCCACCTTGTCTATGAGATGACCCACCTTGTCTATGAGATGACTCACCTTGTCTATGAGATGACCCACCTTGTCTATGAGATGACTCACCTTGTGAGATGACCCACCTTGTCTATGATATGACTCACCTTGTCTATGAGATGACTCACCTTGTCTATGAGATGACCCACCTTGTCTATGAGATGACCCACGTTGTCTATGAGATGACTCACCTTGTCTATGAGATGACCCACGTTGTCTATGAGATGACTCACCTTGTCTATGAGATGACCCACCTTGTCTATGAGATGACGCACCTCGAGAGATCTCACCTGGTCTATGAGATGACCCACTTTATGAGATGACCCACCTTGTCTAAGAGATGACCAAGTTTGACTAAGAGATGACTCACTTTGACTAAGAGATGACTCACCTTGTCTATAAGATTACTCACCTTGTGAGATGGCTAACCTTGTCAATGAGATGACCCACCTTGTCTATGAGATGACCCACCTTGTCAATGAGATGACCCACCTTGTGAGATGGCTAACCTAGTCTATGAGATGACTCACCTTTGCGACACGACGTGAAGCCTTGCTTCTCCTCACAAGACAGACAAATTCCAGTCATCTCACACAGCTGACTGTGACATTGCTCACACGAATGTTTACAGTCCAGCCCGAACTGACCGGCAGCACAATCTGGCAACAGTGTCAATCAGGAAACAATTACAAAACAGCATCTCTGTTTCCTTTAGGGGCCGACGCCTACATTTTGTTTTCCGTCTAGACACGCCAATGCTCAACAGGGGATCGTTTGATTGTACTCGTTGCTTATCATGGTTTGATCATCACCCATCTAATGAACTAAGGCAGCGACATTGACATTAGATGAGTTAAACTTTAACCCCTGACCTAAATAGCGGCCGCTTTTTGTTCAGCTACAAATTCTACGTCGTGTGAATACGTGCAGTAAAATTAAAAGGTCAACATTTCAGTAAAGTGTCTTGACAAACCACTGACCAATTATTGACAAAATACTGACAAATCACAGACCACCCCCTGACAAGACAAAAAACTAACCATCCACTTACAATCCACTGATTATCCACTGGTAACCCCCTGACGAAAAACAACTGACCATCGACTAACCTCCGTAAACCTCCACCTCACACACACTAAACTCTTTTCTCCCAACGGAAGTTATCTTAACTCCCATAGCCAGCTCAGGGGAGCTCAGTTTGTACTCAAACACTCCAGACGTTCTTGACCTTCCGGGCTGTAGCGCTTCCTTTTCAAAACCGGAAGTGTCAATTAGTTTGACGGCAATCTTATCCTGGCTATTTGCTGTTGGGAATGGCACAATTATAAAACATTGACAACTTATCCTAACTATATGCTGTTGGAAATGGCACAATTATAAAACACTGACAACATATCCTGACTATTTGCTGTTGGAAATGGCACAATTATAAAACACTGACAACATATCCTGACTATTTGCTGTTGGGAATGGCACAATTATAAAACATTGACAGCTTATCCTGGCTATTTGCTGTTGGGAAGGGCACAATTATAAAACAGTGACTAGATCAAAACGTAGACGTACGGTGTTGACTTCGACAAACTTTGGCAGACATATTTCTATTCTGCAGTAAATACTAAAAGAGTAACTCCCCCTTGTTTCTTCTAATGGTGATATGTAATTTATGTTAGAAGAAAGTAGAGTCATCTCCCTTAGTTTTGCATGACTAACTGATTTTAATCGTGAATTTATAATTGGCTAAAGTTAGGAGCTAAAGTAAAGAGCTAAAGTAAGGAGCTAATGTAAGGAGTTAAAATAAGAAGATAAAGGAAGCAGCTAGAGTAAGGAGCTAAAATAAGGAACTAAAGTAAGGATATAGTAAAGATACAATTTTGTTGAGGATTAAATTTTATGCTTTTTCTTTTTTCACGTAAACAAATAAAATAATTTCCGAGCATGAAAGAAAATATAGAATAAAGTCATATCACATAGTATCTAATTAATTACAATATGAGTTAAGTTTTGCTATGTGCTAACCGCATGTACATTTTTAAAACAAGTTAATTAAAAAAGTCTAGTGACATTTATGCGCAATTTCCTTATGTTATCTAAAAATAGCTCTGACGTATAATGATTGGGTGCGTTCAAGCTTGAAGAGCGATCGGTTTGTAGGTGTTTATGTAATTTTAAAATTTGTGACCGAACGAGAGGATATTTTTGAAAACTTTCTTCGGCAATACTGTTCTAAATTATGGCAGGAATCGATTGGTACATGTTTCAAGTCGCTAAGTGGTCTGGTTGCCGAGATATGGGCCAAAAACTGCATTTTTTCGAGGTTTTTTGGCTTTTACGGGAAATACATGAAAGAAACCCGGAATTTTTATGGCCTATGCTCATTCTCGTAACTTGCTTAACATAATTGCTTTTGGAACTAGTCATCGATATTCCTTCGTTGAGGAGGAGATACGACTTAAAGCCCGGACACACATTCATCCATCCATCCATCCATTCCCAGAAATGACGAGTTAATAAACGCAATTCTCCAGAATGGAAATTGCGCTAAAAAATTGCAAGCTTTCGTTTGAAGAATATGGTGTTCTATTGAATTTATAATCCTATATGTCGTCCTATTAAAATTCTCTATCGTCAAATCATAAGGGTTAGGTACGTATTATAAATAACATTTATAAAACTATTTTTTCCGACTCAGGGAAGTGTACAACGTCGAGATTTTTTAAAAAATCTCGATTTCATTTTTTTTGCACGATTACAATACTTCTCTATACTTCGTATACGAGAAAATAAAAAAGAAAAACAAAACACGTAGCTCGCCTTGTCTCGTGTAGATGTCAACAGAGAAGACCAGTATGGGCTTTTCCAGAATCAAGCCCAAATACGCCCGAAGCCCCCTGGATACCGTGCCGAAGCATTTGGTGCCCGTCCCAGGGGATTCGTACCGGTGCCCGTCGACCACCGTGTCTGCCCTGACGTCCGCGTGCTGGAGGTCACTGCTTGACGTCACTTGCTTCAGGGCTACGGACCTACCTAGGAAATGGCCCTCGTTTTGGTGAGGGTGTTTTGGATGATGAAAGGAACATTGATGCTTGTGTTGATAATGAGTGGGATAATGATGATAGTGTGAATAACTATTACAAAAATAAAGGTTATTGTTATGTTTATATATTTTCTTAATCTACATACTTTATACATGCATCAAACACAAATGTTTCACTTTACGCCAGCTAACATAACTTTCCCATATCCCAACTGTCCAACAGAATATTGTGTGAATATTATGTGAATATTGTGTGAATATTGTGTGAATATTGTGTGCTTATTGTGTGAATATTGTGTGAATATTGTGTGCTTAGTGTGTGAATATTGTGTGAATATTGTGTGAATATAGTGCGAATATTGTGTGAATATTGTGTGAATATTGTGTGAATATTGTGTGAATATTGTTTAAATATTGTGTGAATACTGTGTGAATATTGTGTGAATATTGTGTGAATATTGTGTGAATATTGTTTGAGTATTGTGCAAACATAAAGAAAAATATTGTAATAGATTCTATTTTACTACACTTTGACGTTCAGTGCTGCGTGCAATCGAAGTGGAATATGGTTAAATCAAATTATTAAGACGTATATGCGATTATTCCTATTAATTCAAGCATGTGTAATTCAGGAACTTTGATACAAATAAGCTTTTAAAAAATGTCCTTCCCTTTATTTCACACACCCCTCCACCTTTTAGGTTTGGCTTCATGCGTCTCCTCGCATTCTCCACTTTACATCTTACGTGTACGGCACACTATCAAATATTCAATTTCCCACCTTTACCATAAACCAATTTTCCACCTCTACCATAAATCAATTTTCCGACTCTACCAATAAACCATTTTCCAACCTCTACCAATAAACCATTTTCCAACCTCTACCAATAAACCAATTTCCCACCTCTCCAATAAACCAATTTCCCACCTCTACCAATAAACCAATTTCCCACCTCTACCAATAAACCAATTTCCCACCTCTACCAATAAACCAAATTCTACCTCTACAAATAAACCAATGTCCCACCTCTACCAATAAACCAATTTCCCACCTCTACCATAAACCAATTTTCCACCTCTACCAATAAACCATTTTCCAACCTCTACCAATAAACCATTTTCCAACCTCTACCAATAAACCAATTTCCCACCTCTCCAATAAACCAATTTCCCACCTCTACCATAAACCAATTTTCCACCTCTACCAATAAACCATTTTCCAACCTCTACCAATAAACCATTTTCCAACCTCTACCATTAAACTAATTTCCCACCTCTATCAATAAACCAATTTCCCACCTCTACCAATAAACCAAATTCTACCTATACAAATAAACCAAGTTCCCACCTCTACCAATAAACTAAATTCTACCTCTACAAATAAACCAATGTCCCACCTCTACAAATAAACCAATTTCCCACCTCTGCCGATGTACAAGCCGCAGACCTCGACTGCGCTTTTGGTTGTGACCTTGAACTTCGTGAACAAGATGTTGTTGGTACATCGTAGCTCCACAATCTTGCTGGTGACGTCAGTGAACACCCAGCCGGAGCAGACGACTGACCGGCGGTCGGCGTTTAAAAATGAGAACTTGAGGTCCCGGATGGCCGCTGAAAACAATGAGAAAACCTATTCAATGTTGTGTAATCTTAATGATACGAGACGTAAATCGACATTATTTTGTCTAGTTTAGGAGAGAGCATTTTGCGACGAAATTTGTGGCGAAGGGAAGAGAGCGATGGGTGGTGAGAAGGTTTGACAAAAACACATGTGTTTACAAATGTAATGGTAGAAACTGGGTTTTGATCGTCCTTTCGCGATTTTCAAAGAATGTTTGTGTAAATTGTAATTAAAATTCTTTAATATGTTAAAAAGCTTGCCGAGCACTGTAGGTATTTTATTTAGACATTCCTGTTTAAATAAAAAAAAAAACTTTTTGAAAGGGACGTCATTTTAAGGTAGTGGGGGGGGGGGGGGGGGATAGGCTGTCTGACCTTTTGTAACAATGGGGATGGGAGGGAGGAGGGGGGGGGGGGTGAAAACTGCTTCTGTGTTTTACCCTACCACCGTAATGTTTACCTATGAAAACACTGATTCGTTAAGACCGTAATATTTACTTATGAAAGCACTGATTCCGTTACTGACCGTACCTTTTTTTGACAGAACGATCCAGGCGAAAGTGAAGATTTGATCTGTTTTGTCGTCATTAGTCGCTGCTGTAATCTCGGCCTTGGAGCAAGTCGTGTCGTCATCGTCTAGCAAGTAGTCGGCGGTCCGTTGGTCCATTATGTTATCTGGGAGGGAGGTAATTTGTTGTCTGTGTAGGGGGTAATGGCCCTTTCACGGTGTACACAAGGGAGGTCAATATGTTGTGTACAGTGTACAAAAGGGAGGTAAATAAGTTGTCTATAAAAATGTATTGGCCCTTTCACGTTGTACACAAGGGAGGTAAATATGTTGTCTATAAAAAATGTAATGGCCCTTTCACGTTGTACACAAGGGAGGTAAATATGTTGTCTATAAAAATGTATTGGCCCTTTCACGTGTACCCAAGGGAGGTAATAGCTTAGATGTGCTATCTGTGAGTCTGGTAACAGTGCCATTTTATTATCTGCACATAGTGGATAAGGAACGACGTGGCAGAGCGGTAGTGCTTACGTCTGGTAACCCAGAAGTCTCGGGCTAGTAGAACGTCCCTACGTTCACCGAGCTCTGTTGGGTACCTGACACGTACTAGGGAAAGAATAGACGACTGGGCATAGAATTGACGACTTCATCCCTCCATATTCCCAAACTGGTGTACTCTCTCCTTCCCTATGTACCGTAAATTCAGAAAGGACATCCTTACTTAAGATGGTAGGAGAATGTAGTAGTTTCATTGCATGAGCTGATCAGAAGAGTACCTATTCAGTTCTCTGCAAGGGAGGTAACGAGTGTAAAGTACAAACGTCTAAATGGATAAGGTAGGTGAAATCGCTGCCTATATGATTTCTTGCAACAACACGTCTGATTGCTTTGTTAAAAGGACCTTTTATTTCCTCTGAGATTACGGTAGGATAAGGCATTATTAGGACAGGGGTGTTTTTAAAGCAGTTTTAATACATGATCATATAGTATTTTGATATTGGAGTCGACAGTGCACAGGGTTCTCAGACTGGACTGGTATAACCCGAACCCCGAGCCCCACGGTCTATTGTCACTAATCATCATCGAACCCCGAACCCCACCCTCTGTCGTCATAAAGCATCAGAAAAAGTCGGAACTACACACATTTCTACCCCGCCCTCAGCTCCAAATACATTTTTTTTGTTTGTATTGTTTTGGTTAAAACAACACATACTACTGACAGCACTGATAAGTACAAACACATTGTACCTTAGTACTGACAGCACTGATAAGTACAAACACATTGTACCTTAGTACTGACAGCACTGATAAGTACAAACACCAGAGGCGTAGCGACCCTTCCCGCGCCCGGGGACAAACTTTCGATTTGCACCCCTCAAACTTTTGATTTGCACCCCCCTCCTCAAACTTTTGATTTCCACCCCTCCCCCCCCCCCCCTCTCAAACTTTCGATTTGCACCCCCACTCAAACTTTCAATTTGTTTTTCCAATCCATTTTGGCGCCCCCTAAGCTCGGCGCCCGGGGACATATGTCCCCCCCGCTACGCCTCTGACAAACACATCGTACATTAGTACTAACAAATACACACTGATAGTACCCACAGTACTGACACAGGCTACACGCACTACTCACAATATTGACAAGCGAATCCGAAGTAGGACCTGGCACATTTAGCACCTACAGGACACGCGCCACTGGCGTCACAATTCTGGTCCTGGCAGTGGCACTGGTACTCACACTTGTTGCCAAACCAGCCCTCGGGGCATTCTGGGAGGGATGGGAGGGGTATGGGGTGAGAGGGAGGGATAGGAGGGGTAGAGGTAAGAGGGAGGGGGAGGGAAAGGTTAGTGCCATAGAGGGAGGTTGGGATGGGAGGGGTATGAAGTGAGAGTGAAGGGGTTCGTGCTAGAGAGGGAGGGAAGGGTAGAGGTAAGAGAGAGGTTGGGATTGGGGGGGGGGGGGAACTAGTGATGACAGAGAGGGTGGTTTGGAAGGGTGGGGGTGCAAGAAATAAGACAGAGGATGGGATGGTAGGAGCATGAGGTAAGAGTGAGGGTGGGATGGTAGGAGCATGAGGTAAGAGTGAGGGTGGGATGGTAGGAGAATGAGGTAAGAGAGAGGGTGGGATGGTAGGAGCATGAGGTAAGAGTGAGGGTGGGATGGTAGGAGAATGAGGTAAGAGAGAGGGTGGGATGGTAGGAGAATGAGGTAAGAGAGAGGGTGGGATGGTAGGAGCATGAGGTAAGAGAGAGGGAGGGATGGGGGGGACTAGTGATGACAGAGAGGGTGGGATGGGGGCATGAGGTAAGAGGGTGGGATGGTAGGGCATGAGGTAAGAGAGAGGGTGGGGAGTTAAGGGCATGAGGTAAGAGGGAGAAGGGGGCGGGAAGGGTCAGTGCTAGAGAAAGAGATATGGGAGGGGGTAGATGTGAGAAGGAAGTTGGGATGGGAGGGACTAGTGGTGACAGACAAAGGGAGGAGGTGATTGCAGCAGATTAAAAATACTTTTGACTAACGTGAGGGGTGTGAAGCTGACAGAGAGTAAAGAAATATAGACCCATCCGTTGGTACCTCGTCTACAACCAGCAGCAGAGTTTCTTCCAGGCATCTCTTCCGTGGAGCAGAACCCCCCCCCCCCCCCCCGGAAATTTTAGTCCACACCCCCCTCTGAAAATTTCAAGTGCCGTCCCGGAGAAATAAGTCTGGAAGAAACACTGACCAGCAGTCCGCTTTAACTCACTCCACACGTGTACAAAACAAAAAACAACTCACGTGAAAACGTTGTATCAACAATCATAAGCAGCAGATATTTTGTTGTGACTAGCACCCTAGTGACGCCCATCAAATGTAGCCCCTGTCCGATACAACACACAATAAAAAGCAAATACGTTTCTTCAAAATGAAAATTAAAGAAGCAATTACCACTTTAAAAAAAAATATCTTAACTGTTGACCTTTTCAATTACACAGTCACGTCATCCTAATTTAAAACTATTTTCTACTTTATAAAATGTTAATCTACGCTTTGAAAATTTAGCTTTAAGCTTCTAGATCTAGGGTAACTGTTTTCTGATTCATATTTCGATCACCTGTAATCGGTCGGTCACACACTTATGACTTAAAGCTGTAAAAAACGTAAACATGACATCGTCTATCGTGGTTTACTTTTTCTATTGCATGTATTTCTCAACTAACCTTCCCAATGTATCTTAAATCGTCTACAGTCTACAGAATACTGTACTGCAATGGTCTCTATCGCAATCTAAACACCATTATTTAAGTAAGAATTATAGCTAGATCACAATCAAGTCTTGTCTTTTTTAGATCTATGTCTTAACATCAATTCTTTCTACTTTTCTTAAAACTATGAGTAACTCTAGTCTTTAATAATTCGATTACACTAAAATCGTACATTTCTACCTTTTATATTGTCAAGCCAACCCTTACAAGCTTAAAGGAACTATGAACTTTAAGAGACAAATTGTAAGCCCTCTTCCGTAGAAGAATGAAAACCAAAGAAATTGAATCGTAGACTAAGCGGAAGTAGTTTGTACAATGACGGTGCTGATTTGTGCTTAGATAAGTGTGCAAAATGTGTAAAAATAGTTTGGGTAAATCTTGTGATTTTCTTTACAGCAAGTCATCAAACCCATTTAATGGTCGTTTAGTCTTTTAGTGTGTTGGAAAAATTAAAAAAATAGTTTATTGATGTAAGATACAAAAACAAATAACTTAAGATTTTAAAATAGCTAGGTAACTTTTGGAAAATAATATTTCATTCTGTTCCGGCTAGGCGTTGCTCCAGCTGCGATATATCCATCTGATTTTATGACTACACTGACATTTCTTATCTAAAAACGACGAGCATCTTGAACCAGAGGATTAACTGTAAACTATCTAATAGGCCTGTCAAAACATTCTGACAGGGTCATTTGATTGAGATAACGACTATAAATAAAGACCATTCCTACACACCTATACAAAGTTACTCGACTTTTAAAAAAATGGTCACTTGAAGATGAGAAGCATCTGTCAACGAGGTCCAAAACTAACCAAAAACACATCTTCTTCGTCGTTGTCATTCTTAACAGTGATGTTAGACGAGATTTCCTCCAACACAATCAAGTATTATGTGCCAACATGTTATGTGCCAACCTGTTATGTGCCAACCTGTTATGTGCCAACCTGTTATGTGCCAACCTGTTATGCGCCATATAGACAATTGATTCCGATTTCAGCCTGCTTATCTTTTAGGATTTGATTTTATAGCCTTTGTCCATCCAACTTCAAGGATGCAGTTTTTTCTATTGTGGAGTTTTCCCTCCTAGATGGGTTCCTGACCCCAGCTATAAACTGGACAGACTCGAACCCAATCATGTACATCAAACTCGAACCGACTACTGTCTCAAGTCAATTTTTATATGCAAGGAAAGCGGAAAGTGGATCACACTATTATGCAGAGTTTCTTCCAGGCATCTCTTCGGGGGGGGGGGGGCTAAGCCCCCCTCCCCCCCCCCCGAAAAAATTCTACAGCCCCCCTTGAACGAAATTAAATGTATATAATTTATATAGAAAATATACTTTTAACAGTGTCCGCCCCCCCCCCCCCCCCGAAGAAAGTCTACCGCCCCCCCCCCGGAAATTTTAAGTGCCCCCCCCCCCCCCCCCCCCGGAGAAAAAGTCTGGAAGAAACACTGATATTCTGGTTTAACATACTACATTCGTTTTCTAGACTGCTAACATTTGGCCTGTGTTTTTGTCCACACGTCTTGCATATGGATTTTTAATTTAACACACACACTCAAATATCTGTCTAGCGGTAGAGAGCTGGACTGCTAACCCGTAAGTCTCGAGTTCGAATCCGGGTTCAAGTCAGTAGACCGTCCCTGAGTCCACCCGACTCTGATGGGTACCTAACTTATGTTAGGGAAAGTAAAGGCGGCTGGGCATAGTGCTGACCACACTATCTCTTCATATGCCGAGGTCACAGAAACAAGTGAACTCTACTTCACTTGCCCCATTGACCGTCAGGTTTGAAAGGGAAACTTTACTTTTTTTTTTTTACTCAAATATCTGCTTAGATAAAGACACGTCACCAGATACATTAAAGCTAGCTGTATAAGTACGTAACTCTAAATCAGGTACCCTACTGAGCTGGGTGACATCAGGAACGTTCTACGGCCTGTGAACGGAACTCTAAACATTTGGGTTGATTAACTGCGTGTTGTCATTCACCCGCTAAGGGGTCATCCATTTATTACGTCCACAATTTTTTTTATTATTTTTGGACCCCCCCTCTTCCGTCCACAAAAATCCACGTTTTTTCCTTACACAAGTCCATATGCGTCCAAAAAAGTCAGTTTTTTTCGGACCCCCCCCCCCCCCCCCCCCCGCGTGTGGACGTCATAAATGGATGACCCCTAAATCCCAGTAGTCATATCCTACTTAATTTCAGCATGAAAATTTGTTAGTTTGGATATAATGGAACAACTGTTTTAGAAACTTTTTGCATAAAATGAAGGAAAAGTACCAGAATGAAAATGAAATAAAAATATTTTTATTATATAATTCTACATAAAAAGATAGTTCAATATTTGATAACTATAAATATCTTGGCTACAAATATAACAGTTACAAAACCTATAAATTACAAAAATAAAGATTATAAATTATGTAAATATAGCAGACAACCATTACGTTTGTAATCAATTATTACTTTAATATATCACTATCCTCACGTATAAAAGCATTACAATTGTAAAGTAATCTTCTCTCCGTGCGATCACACATTAGTTACATAAAATTATTTTCATAAGGTACATATTTAATATTTTAACGCGATAAAAAAACGCTTATTCATCAAAATCATATTCCTCTTTCTCTTTCTTGTACGACCTCCCGTCCTCTGTCTCCCCCCACTCCTTCTGTATCCAAAACCTCTCGCTCATCTTCCGAATTCTCACCCCGATGCCTTGAGGCTTCACCTCCCGGGGCGCCGAGGATTTCAGCTTTGGGATGGCGACAACAACTTCCTCTTCTGATGGCGGCGAGGGGGGCACATCCTTGAACGTCGCCCTTTTCTTTGGCTTGACGGGCGGGGGTTTAGCTTTGGGGGGTGGTTTAGCTGGGGCGGGGGCTGCCTCGGACGACACGTCGGATTTATCAACGGACGACGAGACTGATCCGGCGTCCTTGTCTTTACCTTTCGCTGGGGGTTTATAGCTCCTGACGCTGGCATCGTCGGACTGTTGCTTTTTCTCTGGTTTGGCGGATTTCGTTTTCTCCTTTTTCTCCGGTTTTGTTTTTGGTTCTTTTTCTACACCCTTCTCCTTTCCTTCCTTTTCCTTCCCTGCCTTTTCCTTTCTTTTCTTCTCCTTACTCTCTTTTTCCTTTTCTTCCTTTGCCGGTTCTTCCTTTGCCGGTTCTTCTTTTACCGGTTCTTCCTTTGCCGGTTCTTCCGTTCCCGACTCGTCCTTTCCCGATGAGCCTTGTTTCTTTTTTTTTGCTGACCCCTTCCCGGTAATGTCGTCGTCCTTTTTATCTATAAATGGCAGTACGTGGTGATAAACCAGTTAGTTTTTGAGTAAAGTAATGTTTTCAATGAATGGTAATTGTGTGATAAGTTATAATCAGATAAGTTTTAATGTAAAATATCTTTCAATAAAGCCAGTTAAAACAAACACTACATAGATGCACTTCAAAGACATAACTAATCAAGGCCATTAATGACCGATTATAAAGCTTTAACAAATAAAAATCTCAAAGACAGACTTCAGAAAATTATTATTAATTTTGCACAGACAAACAATAACAGGCTTCACAGACAGAGAATCAGAGATTATCAAAGACAGGCAGAACATTCGAGACTTAAAGCACAAGGGACTTACAATCGGGAACATCATTAATATATAACTTACCAAGGAAGCCATCTTTAATTTAGGACAACAGCTGTGACATTATGTAATCTATGACTTACCAATTGTGCAATCTTTAATCTATGACTTACCAATTGTGACATCTGTAATTTAGAACTTACCATCTTTGATATCTGTGATCTATGACTTACAATCCGGGATATCTGTGATCTAGGACTTACTATCCGGGATATCTGTGATCATGGACTTACTATCCAGGATATCTGTAATCTATGACTTATCATCCAGGATATCTGTAATCTATGACTTACCATCCAGGATAGCTGTGATCTATGATTTAACATCCGGGATATCTGTGATCTAGGACTTACTATCCAGGATATCTGTAATCTATGACTTATCATCCAGGATATCTGTAATCTATGACTTACCATCCAGGATATCTGTGATCTATGACTTACAATCCGGGATATCTGTGATCTATGACTTACCATCCGGGATATCTGTGATCTAGGACTTACCATCTGGGATATCTGTGATCTATGACTTACCATCCGGGATATCTGTGATCTAGGACTTACCATCCGGGATATCTGTGATCTAGGACTAACCATCCGGGATATCTGTGATCTATGACTTACCATCCGGGATATCTGTGATCTAGGACTTACCATCCGGGATATCTGTGATCTACGACCTACAATCCGGATATCTGTGATCTAGGACTTACCATCCGGGATATCTGTAATCTATGACTTATCATCCAGGATATCTGAAATCTATGACTTACCATCCAGGATATCTGTGATCTATGATTTACCATCCGGGATATCTGTGATCTAGGACTTACTATCCAGGATATCTGTAATCTATGACTTATCATCCAGGATATCTGTAATCTATGACTTATCATCCAGGATATCTGTAATCTATGACTTACCATCCAGGATATCTGTGATCTATGACTTACCATCCAGGATATCTGTGATCTATGACTTACCATCCGGGATATCTGTGATCTAGGACTTACCATCTGGGATATCTGTGATCTATGACTTACCATCCGGGATATCTGTGATCTAGGACTTACCATCCGGAATATCTGTGATCTATCACTTACCATCCGGGATATCTGTGATCTATGACTTACCATGCGGGATATCTTTGATCTATCACTTACCATCCGGGATATCTGTGATCTATGACTTACCATCCGGGATATCTGTGATCTATGACTTACCATCCTGGATATCTGTGATCTAGGACTTACCATCCGGGATATCTGTGATCTAGGACTTACCATCCGGGATATCTGTGATCTACGACTTACCATCCGGGATATCTGTAATCTCTGACTTACCATCCGGGATATCTTTGATCTATGACTTACCATCCGGGATATCTTTGATCTATGACTTACCATCCGGGATATCTTTGATCTATGACTTACCATCCGGGATATCTTTGATCTATGACTTACCATCCGGGATATCTTTGATCTCCCTCTTGACGTAGACAGCCTTCCGACAACAGAAGTAGAGAATGAGCAAAAGAATGACCATAAAGACCATGAGTCCCGCTATAATGTAGTAGATGTTCTTGTACCAAGGCTTCTTTGGGTCTGAGGATAGCAAGTGTACAAACACAAATCATAGGTTTAGAGATTATGTTGGCTGACTCTAGAAACCTTAGCCAGTTACATGGGTTAGAGATTATACAGGCTGGTTCTAGACCCATAGCCAGTTACCTACATATATATATATATATATATATATATATATATATATATATATATATATATATATATATATATATATATATATATATATATATATATATATAATTTGTAAAAATAATAACAGAATAAATCATATATCAAAATTCAAAATAAAAAATCAAAACCGCCGTATATCTGTGATTAAATTAGTAAGTAAAATAAAAAAGAATAATGATAAAAAGGTATTTCTTCGTTTGACTTCCGGTTTCACTCTTATCAGGGGAGTAGCCCGACAACATCCGGGACTTACCGAGACAGCGCTCGCCTTGGAAATCGCTGCTACATCCGTTTTGACAGGCGGCTGTAGTCCTGTCGCAGGCGCCGTTCCCTCCACAGTTGACGCAGGCTGGCAGGGAAAGAGAACCCCCAGTTAGTAACCACAGATTGATTTCAAATCTTAACTTTTTTTTCCACCCGGGGGGGGGGGGGGGGGGGGGGGGGGAGGAGGTATATTTGAAAAAAAATTGGGGGGGGGGGGCGGACTAAAATTTCCATGGGGAAGCAGACACTGTTAAAAGTATATATTCTCATATTCTCTATATAAATTTCATTTCGTTCGGGGGGGGGGGGGGGGGGGGGGGGTACAGAATTCTAGTATGCTGTAGCATGTTGTAGCATGGTATACAATTTGGTAGCATGTTGTAAAAGCGGCTTTGCTTCCTGCTGACTCACACACTTGCATGATCTTCCAAGGCTACAGAAAAAAATAATTAAAAAACTCTACTTCATCTGCACCATAGACCGCCAGATTAGAAAGGGACATTTTTATTTTGGTAACATTTTAAACCTTTTCAAATATGTAACATTTTGTAGCAGTTTGTAGCTTTAGTATGGTGTAGTATGATGTAGTATGATGTAGTATGGTGATGTAACATTTTGTATCAGGTTGTAGCTTGGGTGCAGTACAAAGTAGTATAGTGTAGTGTGATGTATTATGGTGTAGTGTGAAGTAGTATAGTTTAGTATGATGTAGTATGGTGTAGTGTCGTGTAATATAAAGTAGTATGAAGTAGTATGAAATAGTACGATGTAGTATGATGTAGTATGTGTGTAGTATGATGTAGTATTATGTAGTATGATGTAGTATGATGTAGTATGATCTAGTATGGTGTAGTACGATGCAGTATGGTGTAGTATGATGTAGTATGATGTAGTATGATGTAGTATGGTGTAGTTTGGTGTAGTATAAAGTAGTATGAAGTAGTATAGCGTAGTATGATGTGGTATGATGTAGTATTGTGTAGTACGATGCAGTATGGTGTAGTATGATGTAGTATGGTGTAGTATGATGTGGTATGATGTAGTATGATGTAGTATGATGTAGTATGATGTAGTATGATGTAGTACGATGTAGTATGATCTAGTACGATGTAGTGTGGTATAACAAAACAAAGCTTACTATGAGAGCAATGTTCCCCGTGATAACCTGCAGCACAACTCTCGGTACATATATGTGTAGTTTGGTGGCAAGCTCCGGTACCACCACAGTGTATACACTCTGGAATTGTACAACACATTATAAAATTAAATTAATATATGTTGTATGTAAAGCCTCCTGAAAATCTACCTAACAACATGTTGGCCATATATGTAGCACCTACACACTTTTTCTTAAAACCTACAGCAATCCCCAACGTATGAATTTTATCAAACCCCGGCAGCATCAAGCTCACCCCCCCCCCCGCAAACATCAAGCCCCCCCCCCCACAAACACACCTGACTTGCCTGACCTGACACACACCTGACTTGACTGACACACACCTGACTTGACTGACACACAAACCTGACTTGACTGACACACAAACCTGACTTGACTGACACACACCTGACTTGACTGACACACACCTGACTTGACTGACACACACCTGACTTGACTGACACACAAACCTGACTTGACTGACACACACCTGACTTGACTGACACACACCTGACTTGACTGACACACACCTGACTTGACTGACACACAAACCTGACTTGACTGACACACACCTGACTTGACTGACACACAAACCTGACTTGACTGACACACACCTGACTTGACTGACACACACCTGACTTGGCTGACACACACCTGACTTGACTGACACACCTGACTTGACTGACACACAAACCTGACTTGACTGACACACACCTGACTTGACTGACACATACCTGACTTAACTGACACACAACTGACTTGACTGACACACACCTGACTTGACTGACACACACCTGACTTAACTGACACACAAACCTGACTTGACTGACACACAAACCTGACTTGACTGACACACACCTGACTTGACTGACACACACCTGACTTGACTGACACACACCTGACTTGACTGACACACAAACCTGACTTGACTGACACACAAACCTGACTTGACTGACACACACCTGACTTGACTGACACACACCTGACTTGACTGACACACACCTGACTTGACTGACACACACCTGACTTGGCTGACACACACACCTGAAAGAATATTTACCTTCATTGCAATCTGCTCCGGCGTATCCAGCGACGCAGCCCCCTGTACAGGCACCTGTTGCAGGGTCATTTGTCCCACCTGCACAATTATTTGCCTGTCGCCTACGTCTCCGTTTATCTTGCAACAACTTATATTTCCCTCTCAACTTAGCTATAGCTTCTGTCGTTGAAAACAGAAATGTAATTTTGATGGAAAAAAAAACAACGTTTTCACAACATGCTTTTATGTAAGAATGCACTAAAAAGGAGAAAATAAATGATTTTCTATAAATATTATAATGAACTACTGAAGAAAAGCATGGGTAGCTATATTATGTATTGAATACCTTATTAGAAATTTATGAAGCGACCCACACCTTAAATTTTTATTTTGACAAAATTCGTACACAGCGCAGATGTGCAGCCGTATATTAAACGCGTGGCTTCTGGTAACTTAAAGTTTAAAAAAAAAATTCAAGTACTCACTGTGACAACCATCTCCCTCATACCCCTCCAAACAACCGGCCTCACACCTGCCGTTCATCTGATGACACGCCCCTGCGCCTGCGCAGTAACCACACTCTACAATAAACAGATGGAGTTTTAGCGGCATAAACCACACTCTACATGGCATAAACCACACTCTACATGGCATAAACCACACTCTACATGGCATAAACCACACTCTACATGGCATAAACCACACTCTACATGGCATAAACCACACTCTACATGGCATAAACCACACTCTACATGGCATAAACCACACTCTACATGGCATAAACCACACTCTACATGGCATAAACCACACTCTACATGGCATAAACCACACTCTACATGGCATAAACCACACTCTACATGGCATAAACCACACTCTACATGGCATAAACCACACTCTACATGGCATAAACCACACTCTACATGGCATAAACCACACTCTACATGGCATAAACCACACTCTACATGGCATAAACCACAATCTACATGGCATAAACCACACTCTACATGGCATAAACCACACTCTACATGGCATAAACCACAATCTACATGGCATAAACCACAATCTACATGGCATAAACCACACTCTACATGGCATAAACCACACTCTACATGGCATAAACCACACTCTACATGGCATAAACCACACTCTACATGGCATAAACCACACTCTACATGGCATAAACCACACTCTACATGGCATAAACCACACTCTACATGGCATAAACCACACTCTACATGGCATAAACCACACTCTACATGGCATAAACCACACTCTACATGGCATAAACCACACTCTACATGGCATAAACCACACTCTACATGGCATAAACCACACTCTACATGGCATAAACCACACTCTACAATTAACAGATGGAAAATAAATCTATCAAATATTTTATGGAAAACAGAAACTAAATGGGATTCAACTGAGTCTTGTTTTTTAATATGCTATTTGTTAACTATTTTAAATAAAAAAAATATATCTATCAGGTATTTTACCAAAAACAGAAACCAAAAAAGATTCAACTAAGTCATATTTTTAACTGTGAGAATTGTTGACAAATATTTAAAATGGAAAATAGATCTATCTATTTTATCAAATACAGAGAAATTAAATGAGATTAGTTTATCTCAGTACTGATATAAATTAAATAATAATACACTGTAAACTGCACGATAGAGAAACTACCAGACGACATAAGACACCTACCGTTGGAACAGTTCTCGCTCCAGAATTTGACATGACAACCAAGGACACATCTGTGTGTTGCCGGGTCTATGGCACCCGCCAGGCAGTTGTTTGGTCTAGGGGGTGGGGCTGCTGTTGGGGGTGTAGGGTTTGTTTGGGGTTGCGGCCGTAGGGGTGTAGGGTTTGTTGGGGGCTGCGGCCGTAATGGTGTAGGGTTTGTTTGGGAATGCGAACGTGGGGGTGTAGGGTTTGTTTGGGAATGCGAACGTGGGGGTGTAGGGTTTGTGGGGGGCTGCGGCCGTAATGGTGTAGGGTTTGTTTGGGAATGCGAACGTGGGGGTGTAGGGTTTGTGGGGGGCTGCGGCCGTAATGGTGTAGGGTTTGTTTGGGAATGCGAACGTGGGGGTGTAGGGTTTGTTTGGGAATGCGAACGTGGGGGTGTAGGGTTTGTGGGGGGCTGCCAATGTGGGGGTGTAGGGTGTGTTGTGGATTGCAGTTGTGTGAGTGTATCATTTGTTGGCGGCTGCCACTGTGGGGGTGCAGAGTTTGTTTGGGGTGTATGGTTTGTTTGGGGTGTATGGTTTGTTGTGGATTGCAGTGATGGTGGCCTAGGTATTGTTTTTACTGAAACGAAAAAAAAAATCCATTCATTGAATAAAATTATGTGCAATAAAAGAACGAGAAAAATAACATCTTAAGCCTGGGTGAGAATAAACGGCCTGAACGAAAAATATACTTATCGAAGTATAGTTTCATATACGTATTGTTTCCTTACTGGGTTGTAACTAAGATATACTTATAGAAGTATAGTTTCAATACGTATTATTTCCTTACTGGGTTGTAACTAAGATATACTTATAGAAGTATATTTTCAATACGTATTGTTTCCTTACTGGGTTGTAACTAAGATATACTTATAGAAGTATAGTTTCAATACGTATTGTTTCCTTACTGGGTTGTAACTAAGATATACTTATAGAAGTATAGTTTCAATACGTATTGTTTCCTTACTGGGTTGTAACTAAGATATACTTATAGAAGTATAGTTTCAATACGTATTGTTTCCTTACTGGGTTGTAACTAAGATATACTTATAGAAGTAGTTTCAATACGTATTGTTTCCTTACTGGGTTGTAACTAAGATATACTTATAGAAGTATATTTTCAATACGTATTGTTTCCTTACTGGGTTGTAACTAAGATATACTTATAGAAGTATAGTTTCAATACGTATTGTTTCCTTACTGGGTTGTAACTAAGATATACTTATAGAAGTATAGTTTCAATACGTATTGTTTCCTTACTGGGTTGTAACTAAGATATACTTATAGAAGTATAGTTTCAATACGTATTGTTTCCTTACTGGGTTGTAACTAAGATATACTTATAGAAGTAGTTTCAATACGTATTTTTTTCTTACTTGGTTGTAACTAAGATATACTTATAGAAGTATATTTTCAATACGTATTGTTTCCTTACTGGGTTGTAACTAAGATATACTTATAGAAGTATATTTTCAATACGTATTGTTTCCTTACTGGGTCGTAACTAAGATATACTTATAGAAGTAGTTTCAATACGTATTGTTTCCTTACTGGGTTGTAACTAAGATATACCTATAGAAGTATAGTTTCAATACGTATTGTTTCCGTATTGGAGACGAACACAAACTCAGGAGATGGATACTGGTTTTATTTAAAAAGGAAAGAACTGCATTGCCAAGCAGTAGAGCGTTAGACTGCTAACCTGAAAGTCTCAAGTTCGAATCTGGGTTCAAGTCAGTAGACAGTCCCTGAGTCAACTCAGCTCTGATGTGTACCTACCTCCCGTTAGGGAAACAACGGCGACTGGGCATAGTGCTGACTACACTATACCATTATAAGTCGAGGTCACAGAAACAGGTGAACTCTACTTCACTTGCCCAATGGACCGCCAGGTTTGAAATGGTAACTTTACTTTAGTAGGAAAAGAAAATTGTTTAAAATATAATCAGCTACCAATACATACAAAATCGTATGTTCAAGAATGTCAAATATCAGTACACTACAAGAGTAAAATACTAGCCTGGGGTAATATAAGCCGAGCAAAGAGATTTTGTTCCCACGAACTCTACTGTATGAATCTTGAACAACGACGGCCGACAATAAATGTCTACAGTAAAATCATCCAACGGGTATCTGGCTGATCTGTCACATAACTGGTTCACATTCTGTCCCTGGGGTCTGTAACGTAACGTCACAGTGTCACGCTCGGCTATTGGAGAAAGAAGAGTGAAGATGAAACAAACAAACAAGAGTGAAGTTTAAAAATTCAGGAATCGAGTAAAAACCACGGGAGAAGATAACATCATACCAATAGTAGAAGGCGTCATTTTGTAGAAAATCGTTGCCTGCTTTTAACAGCCCTTTTGAAAAATCTATTTAACTCAATTTAAAAAAAGAAATAAGACTAAATTTCAATTAAGCATCCTATTTAATTATTGAAATTAAAAAAAAAACAAAAAAAAATAAATAAGCAAACAACCCCGCCCCCTCACCAAATTGTGTATTGTTTTGAAATAATAAAAAAATAAAAGGTGTTGAATGGGTCATATTCTCAGGATAAAGTCTGATGAAATTCCTGTAACCGCGCTAAATTTGACTCAAAAAAAAACCGAAAAAGACAAAACCAAGGGAGAAATGGAGATGCAAAGCCGAGAACCAACTGGCAAGATATGGACAGTCTCAAGGAAAAGCCTAGAAAGAGACCGACAAAAAAAAACGTAAGACGCCCCCCCCCCCCCCCCCCCCCGTGTCCTAGACTCGAACGTGAAAAGAGGATATAATTACAATATTAACTTTTTCTTACTATAGCTGTAAATTCTTCTCTTCACGGCATACGTAAATTAATTGATTAGTTTAATTGCTTTAGTAATGTCGCAGGTACGGCTGCCTGATTTACCTTTCAACTTGACGACCACTCGGACAAACAGGATGGGATGAGAGTGTCTCAAGGTTAGGAGACAGCCATCTTGGTCCTCCATACAGGTAGCGTCATCGTTGTCATGGATGGCTGCACATGAGGGGCTCTGTATAGCTCGGTGAGCCAGGTTCGCTACAGGGATTACAGATAATATATCTTTTAATATACTTGGTCATACACTTCATTACATTGTTTGTATAAGTGTGATTAAATATGTTTGTATAAGTGTGCTTAATGTGTTTGTATAAGTGTGATTAATGTGTTTGTATAAGTGTGATTAATGTGTTTGTATAAGTGTGCTTAATGTGTTTGTATAAGTGTGATTAATGTGTTTGTATAAGTGTGCTTAATGTGTTTGTATAAGTGTGATTAATGTGTTCGTATAGTTGTCATTACATGTGTTTGTATAAGTGTGAATCGTAGTGGTCGAGTACAAGAGCAGACTGTTCTAAAACTGAAGTCACGATATCGGTTCTCAGGCTCTAGTCCTGTTAAAACGTGGGTGAATCTACCGATGTCTACACATTGAACTAATAGCCTGACTTGTGTTGTAGACGGATGGTTAGGCATGGTGCAGACAGTACAAAACTTTCATCTGCCGAGGTCAAAGACACACAGGAACTCTGCTTTAACTGCCACATAAAGAGTGAGTAAATTAGTGTATCGTTTCGAACCTGACAGTACATGGAAAATGTGAAGTAGAGTTCCCCTGTTTCAGTGATCTCGGCATTTGGAGGGATAGTATGGTCAGCAATTAGCTTAAATTTTTTCCCAAACTTGAGTCAGGTCCCTGTCACAGCTGGGTAGACTCATGGACGCTCTACGGACACCAGCCCTTAATAAATGGTAGGTCTAACAAATCAAAGTATTGCAGTAATGGGACACAATGTCTT